AGAGCTCACCATCCAGCCTTGGGGTCTGACGATGACAAGACGAGGTTGTGAGAGCTTGCAGGAAGGCACGTGGGGTCGGGACATCTGCTGGGAAGGTTTTCAACTTCCTCCCCTCTTCCTGTCCAGGAACAACCTGTGCCTTCCACACAGGAGCTCCGGGAAGACAGGGACAATTCCAGAGGAGGCTGACCTCAGGGGCCCCTGGGAGCCAGCCTGGCCTGTTTCCTCCCATTTCCTTGTGCTAATCGCTGGCCCTTCCTTCTGACTGCCCCCTCTGGCATGGATCACGCTTTCACATCCCGGCGGCCCCGTGGTTCCTGGGGGTGGGGAGTAGCCATGCGCAGTCCCTCCTCGGAACCACTGCGGGATGCAGCTTTAAGGCTGGAACCGTCAAAGAAGTGAGGGAACCAGGAACTCAGCGGCCAGCGGATGGCCTAAAGCCCCTATCTGGGCACAGCAGCAAAAGAAATGCTACGGTGTTGGCTCTGTGCGTGAAAAGCTTGGCACTCGACAGGATGCCACATCACCACAGCTATAGCACTCTCTGTCCCCACTGCAAAGCCATGGAGGGTAAGTCTTGGAGCCACAGCCATCTCCAGATGTGCAGAACGAAGTTCTCGGGAAAGATCTGCACAATTGGATTCTTTTGATATTCATCTTCAGTCCCGTGGCTCTCGCCCAGGCGCTTCCTCCATTAGGAACATGTCCATCTGTCTGTCCTGCACCTGGAGACACATGGCAGGTGGTGACGCACCTCAAAGACGTCACCCGGAGCTCTTCTGATGGGCTTCTCAGACAGGGATATACTGGAGGAGTGCTGGCCTGTGATGCCCCGCCCACTCCACGCCCTCATCTCAAAGGGCACTGCCGCAGTCTCAAGGGGTTGCCTACTTGGAGTTGGTCTGGAAGCCACTGGGCTCTCCAAAGCTGAGGGGCGGGCGAGGTCTGACGGAAGAGCTGTCCGTGGCTGGATGGGGAGTTGGCCTGTGATGGGCCATGAGCCAGTGCCTGCCAGGGAGCCGTGTCCACGTAGCAGCCCAGCCCTGCAGAACCCATGTGTCAGCAGCACAAGGAAGGGCATCAGATCAGTGCTGCTCTTGGTCTTATTATTTATTTGAAAGGCAGAGAACCAGGACAGAGGGGGGGGGGGGAGAGAGAGAGAGAGAAAGAAATCTCCTATCTGCTGGTTCATTCCCCAAATGCCTGCAGCAGCCAGGGCTGAGCCAGGCAAATGCACTCAATGCAAGCCTCCCACAGGGTAGCAGGAGCCCGATACCTGAGCCATCACCTGCTACCTCGCAGGAGGAGCAGTAACAGGAAGCTGCAGAGGACAGACGGCAGGGCCTGGACTGGAACCCAGGCACTCGGATGTGGGATGCAGCCCGAACGGCTGCTTCACCACACCCACCATGCACCCCGGCCTCGGTGTGTAAAGGCGCTGCTCTTCCTCCACACAGTCTCTTGCAGACAACAGATCCTACCCGTGTTTCTCGCTCTGTGTTCAGCAGTGAAGACAGACAGGTATGGCTCCTGGGGTAAGTGCGGACCTGGGGACTGGTCACAGCATCTGAGTCCCCCTCCTCCGGGCCCAGCAGGCTCTGTGTCCCCATTCACTTCCAGGGGGCTGGGCTGTGGGGCTGGCCACAGCCAATGAACCGGGAGCAGAGGCAACGCTTACCCCGCGGCGGCTGTGGACACCTTGCATGGGGGTCAGCAGGTGTCTTTTCCATAAAGGGCAGGATGTATCAGATACACCAGGCCTCGCAGGTCCTGTGGCCTCTGTCCCAGCTGCTCACCCTCTGCTGGGCCTCAAGGCAGCTACAGTGCAACAGCCATGGGAGCCAAGTAGAGCTGCCATTGGCCATAGCAGAAACAGCTTGGACTTGGCCTGTGTTTACTGGTGTTCTAGGGCGAGAATGCAACAGAGCTAGCCCTCAGCTGCCCGCAACTCAACACAGTATGAGACAGAAGCAGGCCTCCTGCCATGTGCCCCCGGAGTAGGGCTGCTCGCCACATGGTGCCTGTCACCGGCTCACACAGGCTGTTACGGGGAGCTTCAGCGCTAACCGTGTCCAGGCAGTCTGGCACGCTGGTTTCTTATTTGGTTTATGAGGAAATGCATCTAACTTGCAATTGCAGCCATGCTTTGGTCAGCGATGGACCACGTCCCATACGAGTGTGGGCTGGAAGATTACAGAGGCACCATAGCCACGTGACGTGGGACTGCAACACGGTACTCACACGTGTGGTGGTACTGCTGACATACACCCACCATGCCGCCAGTCATACAAAAGCAAAGCACATGCGGCTACATGTGGTACCCGATACTCATGATGATAAATGAGTGGTCCCGGTTTATGTATTAACTTTGGACTTAACAACATTTGATTGTCATCTGAGGGTGTCTGCTGTGCGACGCTTGTGTTGGGCCGGCAGCAGCCTCACAGCCCATGTTTATGGCGTCTCCTGCTGGCGTTCGTGGCGAGAGCGCACTGGGTGGTGTTTGAGCAATGACAAAGCCGTCGACTGCACAGCACTTCTCAGAAGGAGTTGCCGTCACTCATCAACCATGAGTGTCATTAGTTCCCGGTTGGATCCAATGACCTCAGGAAGCAATCGTCCCGATGTTTCATTGTGGCATGGGCCTGAAAAGCCTCTTTCCCTCTCCCCACCCCTGCCAATTCTCTCCCCCCACCCCCAGGAGCTGACATGGGAGTGCTGCTTCATGGTCTATAAGGAGCGGAGCTGGCCTCTGAGCTCCGCCGAGGGCAGACTGCAAATGTGAGCGGGACGGCTGTCGGAGGCTCAGCCTGCCCGGGCCCGTGCCCAGAGTCCTCCACTGGATACCACCAGATGCACCCTCTTTGCAACCTCTGACCTGGAACCGGAATCCTACATGGAGAGCCGTGGTGACGGCAGTCGTCCTGTTGGGGAAGACCATGTGGCATTCCAGGCCACGGTGATTTATGTGCAAGACTGCTCGGTGTGCATTGACACTGATGGGGGCCATGGAGACCACCCAAAAAAATCAATGAGGGTGAATCCATCTGAGGCCTGGCACGGGACACCCAGCGCGTGGACATCCAGGAGGAGGCAAAGCCACGCACATGGGGAAGGACCCACCACAGACAAGTGGGGAAGACTGGGACCGGGTTGCATGGTGGAAAAGTGAGGTGAAACCGAGGTGGGTTGACATTGTGTGCCGGACCCGTCCAAACCTCTCTGATAGCCAGAGCGGGGCCAGGAAAGACAGGCAGACTGGCACAGAAGCATGGCCCCGAGATGGGCCTCAGCTCCCTCCCCTCTAAGATGGACACAAACCCTGGGACTCTGCTTCCTAGCAGAGGAAGTCGCAGCCAGGGTGTGGGCTTCGCTTGGGTCACTGCGAGAGGAGGTTGCCACCGTCTCCCTCCCCTGTTCCTGCAGCACTGGGGGCAGAGGGGCGCTGGAGCGGGCGTGAGCTGCGGGTGGGCTGCTCAAATCCGAGCCAACCCAGAGCGCTCAGACTCCAGGACTGGAGGAGACGAGGGCGGAAGACGGAGGAGAGCTGCAGACAGCAGCTTCGCAGCAGGGCCACGGAGGCCCTGGACAGCTGCTCCCAGGAGGCCCCCTGGGGCGTGCTCAGGCTGTGCCTGCAGGCTTCAGGGCACTCACGGGGCTCTGCCTAAGCAGCAGGGAAATGGCTCCGGTTTCAAAGCCGTTTCTGTAGTAACCACAGCCCCCACCCTTTCTATCTTCAGGGAAGAGGAAAGGCATCACTAAACCAATCACACCAAAGAGCTCTTTGACGCAGCCAGCCAGGGCCCCTGCCCATGTTGCTGCCCCCCGACCCAGCGTGTGCGCCAACCAATCACCATGTCGCTGTGTGCGAGCATCTGGTTTGCATTTCGCTCACTTTTCGGCAGAGGATTTTAGCACCAGCTCAGCGCCGTCTTGTGTTTGATTTACAGCTGCCGTCTCGCAGAGTCCCCTCTAACGCCCTGTAGCCTGCAAGGCGTGTCCCCATCAGGCCTCGGCTTTACCAACAGGCCTCGGCAGCAGCCAGCACCGCCCCTTCTCCACACCGCCCAAGCCCAGCACAGCAGTTGGCGAGGGCTCATAACCGTTAGCAACAACAGCCACATCTGCTCCTAAAAGGAGATGCACGGGACCTGTGACCATGACCTCCATTCCTTGTGGCCCAAGAACCCACAGGTGGGCAGGTGAGGGCTCTGGGTTGCAGACAAACAGCCTTTTCCCCCTCACATGCCCTCCCTCTCCCCCAAGCCCCAAGGCTGAGCATTCGCTCTGTGTCCCAATCTGGATGTGCCGGGTCTCCAGGGGCCGGTGGGAGGCAGGGGGACAGCTGATGTGGGAAAGCCCTGGGAGCTGGGGGCTGCAGTCATTCTGTCATGCAGAGCCCATGCCCCACCACGCTGCTGCTGCACACAGCAGGCCTCCACGTGTGGATGAGTGCGTGAGGGCTCCAGACTGGTTTTCTTCATGCAGAGCGATGGAAGGCCAAGCCTCATGCACAAGTCACAGTTCTGGGTGGGCTCTCTCACCCAGGGAGCAGCTGGCAGAGTGGGCGGGGGCTCCACGCAGCACCGCAGCCTCAAGAGGACCCGCGGCTGGTGCACCGTGGCTACCCCTGCACAAGCTGTCAGCCACAGGACTCGGTGATCAGAGGTGGGACAAGCGGGTGCACAAGTCGGAAAAAAAAATCCGCTGCCTTCTGGGCTCTCTACAGGCCCAGGCTGGTTCACCAGGGAGTCTCTGTGCCCCCTCAAAAAGCACCAACATTCAGCTTGAGGACTGTAGGCCCAGGCCAGGGCAGGGGTTAAGGTCCAGGTCAGGGCTGTACTCTCCCTTGTACGGAAAACATGCTCATAGGACCAGAGACCTTTCCCTGGGGAACACTGCCCAAGGCCCAGGCTTTGGGAACTTCCGAGCAGCAAGGCCGTCCTTGGGGTAGAGGAGAGTGCAGCCCAGAGGCACCCACCCTAGCCACGGGATGTTACCTGGAGGGGAGCGGCACAAGACAGGTGAGCCAGGTCCCCGATCCTGGCCGCAGCCCGGGGGTCGCTGGAGCTGATCAGCACCGGGGCGCTGATCTCCATGGAATGCCTGTGGCTGGCGGCCTGTGAGGATTTGTGCGTCACGCTGAGCGCCGTGAAGGAGTGGCGCTTCTTGGTATTCTTCTTGCTGTCCACACGCCGCTGAAAGGCACTGACCGCCCCTGAGCTGCTCACGGCGGGGCCCGGGGCCGCGGTGGCCACAGCGCCGGCGTCACAGGGCAAGGAGGCGTCACAGCCAGACGCAGCGGCTGGGCACGGCTTGTCCATCTCAATGAGCTGCTTGGCGGAGTCGTTGAGCTAAGTGAAAAAGGGAGGAGGGAGGCTTCATTAAGTAATGTCACAACCACACACTACGGCTCCCCGCGCTCTCCCGCCACCTCCCCGGCTACACACTGCTAATGCGTTCACACCGGTGAGCCGCTTCCAAACAGCAGCTTCCAGGGTGAGTGGTGCGGTGACAACAGGGCTGAGCTGCAGTGACAGCTGCAGACTTTACGGACGTGGTTTTTGAAGCAGCTCAAAGCCCGGGAGCCATGACGGAGAGCAGGGCACTCAGCAGACGGGACGGTGCTTGAGAGACCTGGCGGCTCCTATTTTCTCAGTGGTTTGCACGTCCAGGGCACGAGGTGCAGGCCCGGAGGAGCAGGGACTAGTGGGGAGAAGGGAACAGAAGCCCAGCCTCAGCTAGGCTTGGCTGGCTCTGCACTCCCCCAGGAACCAGCTCCTTGGCTGCCCTGCACAGTGCTGGCCACTCCGGGGAATTTGCAGTGTGCGTCCAGATGCACCTGCTACTTACAAGATAAGTCTACTGTGGTTCAAAACTGTGAACTCTGTGCATTTTCTCCTAAGACGCACTTTCTGGAGACCTGTTGTATGCATGGATTTAACAACTTTTTGCACCAAAACGGTATGTAATTCCATTTGCCACAAGCTTTCTGAAGCACTCTTGTATTACTTGGATTGATTCCGCAAGGACTTAGGACACCATGCCTTCCCACGTCTCCCACCCCTTCTACCAAAGAGCAGGTGCTGTTTTTGCAGTGAAAAGTTTGCTCTTGACGGAGATCTTTACCCTGAAGTGCTTGGCAGGCTAGGTGGGATGAAGATGGGTTCATGCAGCAGCCTGTGTGATAACTGGGAATGCAAACTCCAGGCTGCCCAGCCCATAGCCTGGGTAGTACCTGAGACAGCAACCCTGTGTGTACCAGCTGTGGAATAAAAGGCCCTGAGCTTGGGTGGGGTCCAGAGGGCCGCAGGTCAAAGGCTGGGTCCCTTCACCATCTGGGAGTGACAGTGTCCTCCACACCAGCAGGGAGTTCTCCGTTCACCATTCTGATGGAGCCCTTTCTTGCAGGCTGTACTTGGCTCAGCCTGAGTTCCTTCCTACAGGGGAATCCAGGAAACGATGCATTGTGTGTACAGTGCGGAGGGGCGGCCAGGAGAGGTGACGCTATAATCAGCTTGGGATCAGCCCCACGAGACGGGGTTAAACAAATGCCAACACGCTGGGGGAGCGCCCGGACGATCTCGGCTGTGTCGCTTGTCTTTCGGAGCAGCAGAAGAGACTGAGCACACGCCAGCTGGCCCTCTGGGGGAGCTGACCTGGGAGAGCACAGAACCAAACACAGGGGGGCACGAGCTGCCTCTGTTCTCGCCCCACAGAGGGAAACTGTGTGGGTGCTGCGGGCACCACATGGTCCTCAAGTGATGTGCAGCAAGGGGCCTGGGCATCTTGCCAGAGAACTTTCTAGAATCTGCAGGAGGGTCACTGGGGGGGGGCAGCTGCAAGTCTTCATTAGGAAAAGGGGATCAGGATCCCAGAGGATGTCTGAGGTCAGAGGTGGAGGGGGGATTGGTCACGGGGCGGTGACCCAGGAATTAACGCAGGTGGGAAAGCGCAAAGCAAGACATGAGAGACAGCACTGACCCGGGCAGATCCGTGGAGGCTCTGCCTTCCTCTCTGCCGAGCCCTTCAGTGGGGCTGGAGGCCTCATGGCCCCCTACACCCACCACCCTCTTCCAGCTCCCCCTGTGCGGAATCTGGCTTCAGGCCTGAGCCGGGAACTTCTCAGTCCTGTGTGACGTGAAGGAGACACGGGGTCTCACTCACATGCAGTCCTAGTATTTGCGGCTGGGGGCATCCCCGTGGGTTAAGAAGAACACAGCCCTGTGTAGCTGTATAGAAGAGCTGGCCCCCTCACCTGCTCTCTGGCAGACCCAGGGGATCCCAGGAGCAGGGGCCCCTCAGGCTGGCCCAGCAGCACTGTCAGCCCTTCAGAGGGAGTTTACACAAACTCACACCGGGCTGCAAAACACGTGCTCTAAAGCCAGGATTATTTCCTTTGAAATGTCTCCTCCAGCCAGACTTGGCTGCTTTGCTCTGTATTATAGCCTTATCCATTTGCTTCTACTGAAGGGCTCCTCAAAGAATGGCAGGTGCCTGTTCCCCTTCACAGTCTTTCATGGGGTGAGGTCCCCACCTCCGGACCCTAGTGCTCTGCCCCCAGCTGGCAGAGCCCGAGGGAAGGCAGGGGAGCAGGAAAAAAATCAGTTCAACGTGGACCGCTGCTGTGGCGTAGCAGGTAAAGCCGCCGCCTGCAGTGCCAGCATCCCATATGGCAGCTGATTCAAGTCCCGGCTGTTCCTCTTCCAATCCAGCTCTCTGCTATGGCCTGGGAAAGCAGGAGAAGATGGCTCAAGTCCTTGGGCCCCTGCAGCCATTTGGGAGACCTGGAAGAGGCTCCTGGCTTCAGATTGGCCCAGCTGCACCGTTGCAGCCATCTGGGGAGTGAACCAGCAGATGGAAGACCTCTCTTTCTCCCTCTGCTTCTCCTTCTCACTCTATGTAACTCTGAATTTCAAAATAAATAAATAAATCTCAAAAAAAAAAAAAAAAGAAATACACGAAGAACAAAAGCTTCTTCCACCCATTGTTTATGCAGTTCCAGACAACGGCTCTCAATTGTTCTGGCTGCACCTGACAGCAGGGAGCGGGTCAACACAGGAGACTCCTACACCCATGGGGAGCTTGAGGCCAGTCTGGGAGCTTGGCGCTAACCACGTCAGAAGGTCCCTCACTGGTCTACACCCTGCTGGCCCCAGATCACCACGCCCTCCCCTGCCAGCACCTGCCCGTGACAGCAGCCTCACCAGGCTCATAGGTCCTAGCTGACCATCCCGCGTGTCCTGGGGAGGACCAGGGAAGAACTGAATGTCAGAGGACACTACCGCTCACCCCCAACCCCCAGGCCAGAAAGCTAGAATGTTCTGTGCGTGGCTACTGGGTGCTGACGGTGCGGGCTGGGTAGGCAGGGGGGAGGATGCCTCCTGGGTCTCTGCCTGAGGATGCGCACCCTCCCCACCAAGGCGTGTGCAGGAAGAAAAGGGCTACACCTGCATGTGGGTGGCTGCCAGAAGTGTCCGTCAACAGACACCCGCAGCCCACACGGAAGTGCACGGAACTATCGCCATGCCTCCAACACTGCGCTTTTGCGTTCTTTTCATATTCCCGAAATAGAAGACATTTTCAACTCCCATACAAAATGAAAACAAAAGAGTAACACTGACATTTTAAAAGTCGTGATGAATATATTCCCTTATCACGAGGATCATCACCAGCGCCTGGACAAGAGGGAGCCCATTAACAGGGAACGTCTGCTCTCACTCTGTGGGCATCTCTGCAGGGCCCAGTCCTAACCCCGGGGCTTCTGGGAGCATGGGATCAGATCAGAGAGGAGAGGTTTGCTTAAGCGCTAGGTATGAGCTTGCCAAAGGGTCAGTGACAGCCATGCCAGGCCTGCTACCATCTGAACAAGTCCCCTAAGGTGCACGTGCTGGAATCATACCCTTTTTTTTTTTTTTAAGATTTATTCATTTATCTGAAAGGCAGAGTTACAGAGAGAAGTAGAGCCAGAGAGAGAGAGAGGTCTTCCATCTGCTGGTTCACTCCCCCAAATGGCCACAACAACCGGAGCTGGGCTGATCTGAAGCCAGGAGCCAGGAGCCAGGAGCTTCTTCCAGGTCTCCCATGCAGGTGCAGGGGCCCAAGCATTTGAGCCACCTTCTACTGCTTTCCCAGGCCATAGCAGAGAGCTGGATCGGAAGTGGAGCAGCCGGGACTCGAACTGCCAACCATATTGGATGCCGGCGCTGCAGACAGCGGCTTTACCTGCTACACCACAGCGCTAGCCTTGGATGCATACTCTTTAAAGCCATGTGTTAACGGTATCTGGAGCTGGGGCCCCTGCTGGCACAAGTGACTTTACAGAAAAGCAGGAGACTGGAGCCAGCAGCTTGCTCTGGCTCGCCCAGGGATGCCCTGCCATGTTACCGTGCATGAGAAAGCCCTCCCTAAATGCCAGTGCCATGCTCTGGAATGTCCCAGCCACCGGGACCATGAGCTAAATAAACCCCTATTCTTCATCAATCGCCTGGCTCAGGTATTTTGTTATAGACTGTTATCAGCTTCGTGCCTGTGATGCTTAGTAATGTCTCCCCGAGGCTCTGTCTTATCTGCTTGATTAACTTAGATGTGATTTTCTTTTCCGGCCACTCTTTGTTCCAACCACAGAATCATCTAGAAATACACAAAGAGGTCGGCGCTGTGGCATAGCGAGCAAAGCTGCTGCCTGCAGTGCTGGTATCCCATATGGGTGCCGGTTCGAGTCCCGGCTGCTCCACTTCTGATCCAGCTCTCTGCTATGGCCTGGGAAAGCAGTAGAAGATGGCTCAAGTCCTTGGGCCCCTGCACCCGCACAGGGGACCCAGAGGAAGCTCCTGGCTTCTGGCTTCAGGTTGGCACAGCTCCAGCCACTGCAGCCGATTGGGGAGTGAACCAGCAGGTGGAAGACCTCTCTCTCTCTCTCTCTCTCTCTCTTTCTCTCTCTCTCTCTGCCTCACCTTCTCTCCATGTGTAACTCTGACTTTCAAATAAATAAATAATAAATCTTAAAACAATACACGAAGAACAAAAGTTTCTTCCACCCGTTGCTTACGCAGTTCCGTAGCACGGCTCTCGAATTGTTCTGGCTGCACCTGACCGCAGGGACCAGGTCAATGCAGGAGATTCCTACTCCCATGGGGAGCTCGAGGCCAGTCTGCGATCTTGGTGCTTGGTCCCGGACAGTGCTAGAGCATGGGGATGACCCAGAAACCATCGGGCTTGGTGAGAGGACTTTAAACTGAATATTTGATTAAAAGGAAGAAACAGAAGTGAAGGAGGGGAGATCTAACATGGAAGGAAGGACACCGGGTTGGGTGCAGCCCACGAGCAAAACAGCCAAGGAGCAGATGTCCAC